ACCAATAGCAGCAGTGATACAAACATAAGCTGAAGCACAAAGCCACCTTCTTGGTATGGGAACTAAGTGAAGGCCAAAAGCTAGTGTGCAGGACTATGCCTGTGCTTAAACTGAGGCCTTGGGTATCAACTGTTCTGTCGCTTTTATGGGAATTCAGATGAAATTTGTGGAAACGTAATGAGATCAACATCTTGTGAGAGGTCCACTACAGTCCAGCGAGAATAAGTATGGCTGCTGAGATTATAGCTTTAGTCCAGCCAGAAGACGACAGTAAAGCCCGTTCCTCTTTTGACTGCAACCCACAACCAATTCAAGTCAAGCCGAGTTAAATTCTCACAACTAAGGGTTAATGTTCAAATCCCCCCAAGGCTGGAAGCCGTGTGCCAGCCCCAGCCAGCAGCTCTTTCAGCAGCAGACCAGCGACCCAGCCACAGCAGCCCTCGGTCTGCTCACCACCGCTGCTGTGCTGTACGGGATGGAGGGTGCTCAGCTGGGAAGCACAACAGCCAAGGGGAAGCCAAGGTTCAGGGGAATTTCATCTCCATCAGATGAGTAAGGTAAACCAATATGATAAGAAAAACAGACCACATTGTTGCTGCAGCCCGGACAGATGTTTGCAGTCAGACGCATCGCACATTGTACAGCCGCGTCTGCTGGAAAAGCACTTTACTGATGATTTATCACATTACGGTGCCAAGGAGCCGAAAAGCCCCCTGAAATTTTTCCACTTAATACTAACGTTCCCAGCTGGGTGATCCTCCCTGACATTTTCTGCGTTACTGTTCAAAGCAGTTCACGGAGTAGGGAAAAACCTTCACCGTCCCCTGGCTTGCTGGCGGTACCCTCGCAGACAGACCCAGGACTTCTCAGGGAGCCAGACACCAAGCAAAAATTAGGAGAGATTTGTTGCGTTCCCTTCAGGTTTTTCCATTTATGGCCAATGCACTGGGGAAGGGATGGTTTGTCCTGGCTGCCAACGCATGTATCCTCCACAGAGCCTTAGAGCCGAACACCACAGGGGCGAGGGGTTGTCCAGGCAGCTCCCCGGGTGCTCGCAGTATCCTGCCTTCTGCAGACGAGCGACATGGAATGGTTTAATCATAACACTATGATTTTTAATCAAATTAGCACCAACAGGTCTCTGCGGGGTCACTTGCTGACGGGGATGACTGGCAAGAAGCTGCAGCTCCCAGAAGCTTCTCCCTGCAGCAGGAGCGCTCCCTTACCCTGCAGAGAAACCCAGGCTGCCTAGCCCAGGACAAGCCTCTAGCTAGCACCTACTGTAGAAATCCTGAATAAGAAGTGCTATTGATGACCTCATGGTAAAATGCTCAAAGTAGCTAAAGAAGAATGAAAAGTGTATAGCCACTCACTCAGTAGCTTTGACTTTTTTTTTTTTCCACTGAAAAATGCAGTGGAGTGGCCTGTTGTGGCTGCTAGGAAGGACTACTCCTAGCACTGAAAGTATTTTGTTTCACCAGAGCAGGCGTTTAAAGACCTCCTGGGACCAGCACGTTAGACAAAAAAACCAGCAGCAACCAGTGCCCTTGGACTTTCTCTGCGTGGGGCCGAAACCAAAGCCACCAGTGCCAGTGGAGAAGACTCACATTAATATTACATACTGCTTGGACCGTGTGCCAAGATCTAAGTACCCGTTTTGTTTTGTTTCCCCTGTAGTAATTTGGCCTCCTCAGTTTTAGCTGCAGCTGATGAGACAGGACCTCCAACTAGCAGCTCCGGGTAAAGCTCACAGACTTGGCAACCCAGAGTGTTTGGGTGGAAAAACTCCACTACGCTGCTGCAGGCAACCACAACCATTAATATTTGAAGAAACCTATAGTTGGAAGGAGTCAACCAAAGTACACCATCATGAAGGATGCAGTTTCTGTCGCAGAGCCAAGCTTTTCAGGTCGGTTTTGGTCATACCTGCTGCATTAGCAGCGAAGTTATCCTCCTAGTATGGTAGTTATGTCAGGTGTGCACCGAGCTTGCACAATGCCCCTCACAGCCTGAACATGGGTAGGAATATGGATTTACCCTTGAGATAATTCTTGAGCACGAATTATAGGGAGGTTGGGCCCGTGGGTGTGGCACCATGCTCCTAACCTGAAGCTTCATTTTGCAGTCCTTGGATTCCTATACTTGGAGCTCCTCCAGCAATTTACTCTCTGCTCTGGAGAGGAAGGTAATGGCTGGGAATGGTGCTGCTTACTCCCCAGAAGAACCAGATACAGCGCTAGCAACAGCAGAAAGTGTGGCCTTCCTTCACACTGTACACAGGAGGGCACCCAGAAGCAGCATGTTCAGTGAGGACGAGACTTGTTTCCAGCTTCACCATGTATCCCGTGTTCCCACTGGGCTCTTTGTCCTGGCTACGTCCTTGCTTCAACATCACTGCAAGTGCCCATTCCGAGTATTTATCTTCCCAGACCTGGCACAGCTCATAGCAGAGGAGCTGAGGAGCTGTAAGCGTATGCCACTTCTCCCATGTTATCCTGCTGTCCGTATAACAAGCGGTTCATTTGCAACTGGATTTTTGTGAGCTAGATGAAGAAGAGATACTTCAGCTATACTCATCCTCATTTCAGTGAGGGCAGCTTTGGTGCCCGTACGTGTACTCGTACAGCCTTGGGCTCACCCACCTGCCTGTGGCAGAGCACTGTGCTGAGCTGGCACCAGTGACAAAATACAGAACATCTGCACATGATGCTCTGGTGCATGGTCAAACCTCACCTGAGCATCAGCTGTCTGAGAAAGCCCAAGTCTGCACCCAGGCTCCAAACTGAACAGTCATAAGAGCAGCAAAGAAATCAATCTTCCCTGTCTACGTGGGCAACTCATTCCCATAAGCAAGGACGACACCACCTCTTTCTCTGCACCGAAATACTTCCTTTGCTGGGGACCTCAGGAATAATCTGCATCATGGACACACATTCCCCTCATCAAGCTCTCCATTTTTAACAGTACTCACCCTGGGAAAATGAGACACAAAACCAAGCAGCCCAGGACCTAACACAGCAATCCTGGTTCAGTGGTTAGAAAGACGACTATGAGAAGCAGCATGGGGCCTGTCCCAGAGCCACAGACCCAGACTGGGCTCATGAGCGCTGCCGAGGGCTCTGCTGGCTCCGGCTAGCGGCAGTGCCCAAAGGGCTGCAGCCCAGCGCCCGGAGTGGCACGGCCCTGTGCATACAGAATTGCAGGAAACACGCACTAGGGAACAGACTGCAAGCTATCATCCAGAGCTGGATCCACCAGAGACCTTCAGCATCCCACTCCAGATCTTCAGTTAACAACTTCCTCACCAATGCCTAAACAGAAGGGTGCCCAGACTCACCATGCACCCGTCCCGCTGTTTGACTTCAAAGCTCCTGAGATGCCTGCAGTTCAGTTCCCCTGCATGCCCAGGACAGCTTTTGCCTGCACCCGTGGCACCACATCCCACCTAGCCCACCAGCGTCCCAGAGCTGTGTAGGGTGGCACCAGCATCATCCCAGGGAGATGGAGATCTCCCCAGCAGCTCGACACACACCAACAGGCTCGAGTGCTGTACCAGACACCCATGCAGACATTCAAAGCACCATCCACACCCAATGTCACTTCCCCAATATCGAGAAGAAACCCATGTTAGGTGCTGTCTCACTAAAAGCAGGGGAGCTCTGGCATCCATCTCAGCGTTGCTCCGCTCTTGGTGCCTTTCAGAACCAGTCCCCGCTCCAGGGCACTCAAAAGCCCAGAGCCACTGAAGACACTGGTGACCTGGTGTGTACTAGCATTGGCTTAAATAGGTTAGAAATGGGGTATCCAAGTCATGAGCTGTAGAAGACCGCTACAAACTGGTTTAGTCTCGACATTGCCATTGTCATCTCTTGCTGGCCCCTGGAAAGAAACCGCCACAACGACCTGCAGGACAGCGCTTGCGCACAGAGGTGTTATAGACGCTCATGCTCAAATCAAATTGAGAAGCCAATTTTTCATTAATCAAAGTGAATTTATTAGCAAGCGATAAAAGAGCAAAACAGTGCTGGGCGACCGGGGAGTCAGTGCTCCGCCAACGGTTCGCACCAATAACAGATGCAACCCCTCTTTTTATAGAGTCCCCATTTCCGCCCTCTTGCTCTCCTCCTCGCCGCCTCGATGCTGGGCTCTGCCCTCGCTGGGGCCTCCACGCCTGCACAGAGACTGAGCCGACTGGACATCGCTGGACATCGTCAAATCTGTGGTGGTGGTAACTGATCTCCCACCAGACCTCCGATTCCCGGTTCACCGAAAATAAAGTTTACAAGGCTGCACGACATATGACTGCTTTTGTGTCTTAATCTCGTCTCCTGGGATTACATCGAAACCTCCCCGATATTGGATCGGGACAAAGAGTCACGGGGGGGAGGAGGGATGGCTCCGTGTCAGCGCTGACCACAGCAAAACCGGAAAGCGAGCTGGATGCCTGGTGATTCCCGAGGGAGAGCTGGGCGGGCAGCACACCTGCGCCTCACCCCAGCGCTCTCGGTGGGACGGAAGTTCCAGAAGGGTCCGTGCTCCCTCCCAGGCGCCGTCGGGAGCGGCTCCCGTCCATCCCACCCCAGCG